GCGCCGGACTCATCCCTTTTCACTCGCCGTTACTCAGGGAATCTCATTTGATTTCTTTTCCTCCGCTGAATTATATGCTTAAATTCGGCGGGTAACCTCACCTGATCTGAGATCAAAAATATTGATTAAGTTGATTAATGTTTATTTGTGTTGTTTGCAAGCAAGCAACGTAAATCTACTTTAATGTTTGCACAAATTTTGCCTTTGCATTACTTCTTAGGTCTGCTTTAACAGAATGAAATAGCTACTATTTGTACGATTTATACAAGTGCAAGAAGATTCATCAGTTAACAGGTTAGTTGATCACCATAGTTATCTGCAATACGACTTTAGCGTCGTCAGATAGGCGACTAACCTTAGAATCTCATGCTAGTATCTATTCATATATACTGCTTGCAGAGATGAAATATGCATTGTACACAAAATTTATCATGTGAAACAAGTAGATTTGAGATTCTCCTTACTAAATTGCAACGAATTGCAATTAAGAAAAGGAATAAAACATCAAGATTCATGCATATAAATATACAATCCTCTCAAAACAATGCATATATGGTAGTATGCAAGTGTTTTGTTGATTATTTTACATCTCAACTCTCAGACAGATGTGACCTCGGAAAAGACCCGAAAGCCGCAATGTGCGTTGGAAGCTCAAGTGCTCGGCGTGTCCTGCAATTCGCACCGATTATCGTAGCTAGCTACGTTCTTCATCGATTGGTAATTCGAGTGATCCACCGCTTGAAGATGTATCTTTGCCACCGTGGGACTTTTAATAAGTATCCTAAATCTGCATTGAGAGGGTTTGAAAACAATTGTATGCAGTTTATAAAAACCATAGTTGTCTTTACTTAGTTAGGCGAAGAAGTGTAAAACTTCCTTCTTTAAACCTTGCCGTCAGCATAAGCTGAAGACTTGATCAGGTACCAAGTATGTAGCAAGACAGGCTTTTCGTTATAAACTACAATTGTTTTGCAAAAGAAATTATGGCTATCGTTAGATAACCCTCACTCTTTGTTGCATTGGATAATGAAAGATGGATGTATGAATGAACGAATGTAATGCAAATTAGAATCATGTTGCAATGGCTAAATGTTTGCATTAAACATTCACAATTGCGACTCTAATGCAAATACAATTCAATTGCATTCACCATATTAGCATCTACAATATCACTATGCAGAGTGTTTGATTGTTTGAAGGTTGTATTTCTCTTATAATAAGAGGGTAATACGTTAATGATCCTTCCGCAGGTTCACCTACGGAAACCTTGTTACGACTTTTACTTCCTCTAAATGATCAAGTTTGAACATCTTTCCAGCACAATCCGACCACTAGTTTCCCAATGGTCTGGATTGACCAGTCCGAAGTCCTCACTAAATCATTCAATCGGTAGTAGCGACGGGCGGTGTGTACAAAGGGCAGGGACGTAATCAACGCAAGCTAATGACTCACGCTTACTGGGAATTCCTCGTTCATGGGCAATAATTACAATGCCCAATCCCCATCACGAAATGGGTTCAAGCGGTTACCCACTCCTTTCGGAGCAGGAAACAGTATGCACGATGACCACTTCAGTGTAGCACGCGTGCGGCCCCGGACATCTAAGGGCATCACAGACCTGTTATTGCTCTGTTTCGTGCGGCTGCGAGCGCCGCTTGTCCCTCTAAGAAGTCCTTACAGTGCTACAGCATCCTTACCCTAGCCAATTCTGTAGGCTAATAGCAGCAGAGCCCTCAACAGCCGAAACCATCAAGAGATACTACCACCCACAGGTTGACTAAGGGGGAGTACTGCAGTGTAAACTGCAAGTCTATTTAGTAGGCTAGAGTCTCGTTCGTTATCGGAATTAACCAGACAAATCACTCCACCAACTAAGAACGGCCATGCACCACCACCCACTGAATCAAGAAAGAGCTCTCAATCTGTCAATCCTCTCAGTGTCCGGGCCGGGTGAGTTTTCCCGTGTTGAGTCAAATTAAGCCGCAAGCTCCACTCCTGGTGGTGCCCTTCCGTCAATTCCTTTAAGTTTCAGCTTTGCAACCATACTTCCCCCGGAACCCAAAAACTTTGGTTTCCCGGAAGCTTCCATTCGAGTCATGAAATTAGTTACTCAGAATGATCGCTGGTTGGCATCGTTTATGGTTAGAACTAGGGCGGTATCTGATCGCCTTCGAACCTCTAACTTTCGTTCTTGATTAATGAAAACATTCTTGGCAAATGCTTTCGCTGTAGTTTGTCTTGCGACGGTCCAAGAATTTCACCTCTAGCGCCGCAATACAAATGCCCCCGTCTGTCCCTCTTAATCATTACCTTGGATTCTTAAGACCAACAAAATAGAACCAAGGTCCTATTCCATTATTCCATGCAAGATCATTCAAGTTAAGGTAGTGGTACGCATCATATAGATGGTTGACCATACCGTTTTTAGGCACCTCTTTCGAGGTTTTGGACGCCTGCTTTGAGCACTCTGATTTTTTCAAGGTAAAAGTCTCGATCGCTTGAATCAACACTCGGTAAAGAGCATTGATAGCAAATATCGAGCAATTTTCTGTCTAAACACTATGAATGTAACCACCAGG